CCCCCCCCCCAATTTCCCGGCCGGGCTTGAAGAGAGCGAGGGGTGCCGAGAGACAGCGGGCCGGGGGCAAACTTGGCCCCCGACCCTTTGATCTCGGGGCCAGATACCCGCGACACCCCCTCCCCCGCGCACACACTTTGAACCTCGACTTTTGCGACGGCTCCGGGTGGGCTTGCCTGGCCCGGCTGCAGCGCAAGCTCTGGATCGTGGCCTTTCTCCCTCCTCCGCCCGCCCACCCCCCATCGCCCCTCTGCCAAGCCGGGCTCGGGGCTCGGGTGCCCCGCGGAGGCTCCCTCTGCCGCTCCAGCTGCGCGGCCGCCCGGGGGGGGGTGAGTTCTTGTCGGTCCCGCCGCCCCGCTTCACCGGCCGGCTTCCCTCGGAGCGCCTTGCCTTGCACCCTCGTGGGACCGCAGCTCGCGGGGCGGCCGGGCGGGAGGGCGAGCCTCTGACAGCTGGCCTGGGCAAGGAACGGGGGGAAGCCTCTGCCCCCCCCCCGGCAGTGCCCCCCGCGGGATGGCCGAGAGCTGCGGCCCGCAGGCCAGACGACTGGGCGAGGCGGGCCGGTTGGCTCGGCGGCGGAAGCTGGGGGGCGACTTTCCCCGGCCTGTGCCGGGAGGGGGGCGCCGGCGCCGCCGGCCTTCCCCTCGCCGCCTCCCCGCCCCTCGCCTCCTTCCCCGGCGAGATCGGCGGAGCGATAGAGCCACCCGATGAGAGCCGAGATAGGCGCTTTTAAAATATTCCTTTCTGCGAGTCCCGCACTGATACGATCGCCCTGTCGGGACGGGCTGAAATTGCGATCTTATCTCGCGCTTGACTCACTCCCATCTCATGCATTAGGGAAGGTACGTCTTGAGCGACTTTTGCAAGCGGGGCGAGAGTGGGGCTGAGGGGGGTCTCGGGGAGGAGAGAGCGGAGCGCTCGGGGCCCGATCCAGCCGCCACATCGGAGCCTCCTGAGGCCCGAGACATTCGGTGGGGTGCCAATACGAGTGTTCCTGCACATCTGCAGAGTGCCTTTCTGACACGCTCTGGTAAGTGCTGGTGTCTCTGAAGGAGTAAAACCGAAGAGGAAGTGTGATTATATCATGCGCAACCGAGTGGGTGTAGAGCAAAAGGTTTCACAGCACTCTTCATCAGGCAAGCGGGGTTCTTATGTAATCGCACGTAATCTGCGCAGGCATCTATAACTTTAATGTGCCGGGTTCCCCGTTGTTGTGTTTGCACAGCCTCTCTGTGCAATGCGCCGTCAAAGAACATGCCGGTGGTTGTCTCAGAGTGAGGTGCTGCTTGAAAACTGGCCATTGAGGGGAGGAGTTTTCGTGTTCGGCGGTGTGCTGGCAACAGTTGCCCAGGCTGAAGGTGCTGGCCGGGCGTTCAGACTGGTGGGTCAGTGCGTTTGCGGAAACGTTCCTTGGAAATATTCCGGCGGTGGCTTATTTTGCTCCCTTTCCATCCCACCAGGTAAAGAATGCTGTGAAACTTGAAAGCTTGCATAGGCTCCTGTCAGACCAATGGAGGATATTTTTCCTAATTTGTATGTCCTGCTGGGTAAATTCTTGGCAATCGCCCCTGTGTCTGAAATGAGGGAAATGATTCCAGGTTGTCTTGGGGCTGATTTTTTTTAAAATGGAAATGCTTCTGTGTTACCTCATAGATCTTGCTCTTTTGCCAAATTGTGCATTTCAAGGTTGTACGTTTGATTCCCCTCCTACAAATATCCTGTGTTTAGTCACCTTGCCCTGCCAGATTCTTCCGCTCCGCATCTTTTCCTAGCCCAAATAAGTTTTGGGAAGCCTTGAGAACAGTCTCTCAATACAGTAAGATTAGACCCTTTCTGGCTGATAATAGAACCGTGTGATGAAATTATTCTGTCGCTGCAGAGGGATCCCAGACAGATGGAGCAAAGAGGGACTCGATTTCAGCCCTGGCAGCATGGATACGCTTGTTGCTGTGCTGCGTACATGGAGGGGGAAGGACTGGGGGGGGGATTTTATATCAACTGCTGGAACTTTTCCACGGGCAGGTTTGGCCGCTTTTTGTGTGCTCTCTCCTTTCCTTCCTGAACTGATCTCAGCCACTGATAAGGCGGAGCGAGATGTACGGATAGCAAGACTGGCCCCCATGTGATAATCATGTTTTATCTTTTCTTGAAAATAATTGCTTTACGAAGCTGCAACTACCTGTTTGCTTGCTTGAGGTGATCTTTTTCTACTGATAAGGCCAAGGGAAACTTTTTTTGGGTGAAAAATTAGATGAAAGTTCTTTCTCTCCCCTTCCAGCAGCTGCTCGCCTTTCCATTCACTTGTCTTGGCATCCAACTTTTTCTCGAACTTTCTGCACTTGAAATTGGCTGCCCCCCCCCCCGGGGAGGGGGTTGGGGAGCCCCCTTCCTGCCCTCAGCTGATTCTCAGAGCCATGTAGCTGAGCTCTGTGATTCCAGATGTCTGTTCTTGAATAAATAAAATGATAACAGCAGGAAAACCTGCTGGGAGTCTCTGTGTGTGTGTGTGTGTGTGTGTGTGTACATTCCCCGGTTTTTCGCATGGCACGGAGGGTTGATTTGGCCGGGTTCCACCAATAGTGGCCAGGAGAAACCCCACGCGTCCTTTCTCATGGCGTGTGTGACTCAAGGCTTAGGCCCCAGATTCATTTCGGTTCTCTCAGGTTCAGCCGTGGCACCGGTGAGGTGGGTGTCCTTAGGCGTGTGAAGAGGGCACCTTTTACTCCCAGGGTCTGGGTATTGGGAGCAATGAAAGGGAGGCTGCAGTGGGCTGGGAGTCGATCTTGAGGCGCTTTGGACTGCAGCTCCCTGCGTTCTTGCCTGCTGCTCCTGCAGCCGGGAGCTGAAGCCAGCAACATCTGGAGATTGCCTTGTGCCCACCTCTGCCGTAGGCCCGTTTGCAGCCAGGCTGGGCTCACCGCCGGAGCGATTCCTGCACAGCAGGCGGGGGAAGCTCGCGAGCGGCTGGGCAGCCGGTTGCATCTGTGCAGCACGCTCCCTGCAGAAGCACCTCCACCCTGTGCCAGGAAGTCATTTGTGTGTGTGTGTGAATCGGTGCACAGCTTATCTGGAGCTGGGCATGCGGCCCTTTCAAAATAAGGGGTCCCTGGAGCAGGGGGACTGAGCGGACAGCAGGCCCCATCGTCCTCCGGCTTGGCCGGGGGGCGGGGCAGGGATGGCAGGCCAAGGGCTTTTGCCTCGTAAGCCCCCCCCCCTTGTGGCCGGCATCACACGGCGTCCACCGTACCAGAGGTGCGCTTGGTCTGCATGGTGCCGTCTTCCTCCCCGCTTCCCCCCTTTCAACTTTCCACCCTGTTTTGTCTTGCCGGGAGTTGTTAGGTCTCTGTGCGCGTCTGTTGTGCATTCATTTCCAGCTCGTTGCTTGTCATCCCCGTGCAGTGTCCTCCGCTTAATAAGGAGCCAAAGGTGACGGGAAGACGGATGGGACCGTTTGCGGGGCTGGGCAGCTCGGCGAATACATTAGGGGCTGCCTTGCACTTGAAAGCGGCTGGCTGGCTGGCTGGCTGGCTGGCTGGCTGGCTCCCGGCTGCTTCCTTTCCTGCTTTCTGCGAGATATGAAGGGATGATAAAGCGAGGAAAGTTGATCCGAGGCCAGATCGAGATGGCCAAAACTGATGAATGGGGTTTAAGATGGAAGAGCTGAAGCCCATCTGTGTGCCGGGGTTTGTTGGCATGTCGGTGGCACTCGGAGTGCACGGGGCTGCGAATACGTGGGCATTCATTCTCTTAAAAACAAAAAAGGCTCTTTTCGTTGTTTTGCTTTCTCGGAGGGGAGTGTGCTTGAGTCGAGAGTCTCCTACCCAGTTGGCTGGTCTGATGTGTTGTTGCTTTGTGAAGCAGATGTCAGATCATCTCCGTCCTCTTGATTCATATCTGCTGACTCTGAGTTTGCTCCTTGGCTGGAGGTCCCTTCTTCCTCCACCCAGTGCTTGAGGTGAGGACCGATAAGTGGAAAGCATGGATGCCCCCAGGAGGAAGAGAAAGTCTGCCGTTGGCAGAGAGCAAAAGGATGAAAATCGGGGGCCGGGGGACATTTCGCTGCGTGTGTGTGGACGCGGGTGCTTCCCAGGCCTTGTCTGTGCGGGTGTGCGTCTTGCTCGGCATCCTCCATTCTTTCCCCGCTCTTTCCTGCCCAAGTGGGTGATGCGCAAGAGGCCCTCCCCACAAGGCCCTCCCCACACGGGCTCTGCTTTTGGGCCCATCTTCTTGGCAGTGAATATGCAACTTAACACCGCTGCTGCATAATCCTCACAACTGCAGATTTGCAGAGGTGGCTAAACCAGAGGTGGTATTTATAGCAGAAGATACTGATGCAGGTTGTCTGGAAAATTTTAAACAGGACCATTTTCCAGGAAATAATGTCCATCAGCACCCAAGGTAGTTTGCTCAGGGCAATTTGCATTGGAAATGTTGCCGCTTGTCTTGGAATTCTTTCCTATGGTTGGGCAGCCTCGGATCATTTACGTATTTGGGCCTACAGCTCCCACTGGCCTTAGCCAGCAATGAAAGGTGAGCTGTAAGTGGCTTGTTTATTTGTGATTAGCAAGTAATGCAGGACAGTAGCCCCTGTTCATCTTTTTCTTAACACAGGATAAATATTTGACCTGAAATATCTGAGGAAAAATATTGAAAGCTCACTTGAAGTGATGTAAACATTCTATTTTGCACTAAATCGGTGACTTACCCAAGGAGCATTAATTTCTATTTTGAAACTGCCCATCTTATCTAGTATTATATTTACAGTTCAGTTCCTTTCATTTTTGCTAGTGAACGCCTGTAAAAGGGAATGCTGCATGAGGAAAAAAATACGCTGGATGTTTTTCCGGAAAAGTTTCAATTCCACCTCACGACTGGGGCTGCTTCTCTAGAAGGAGGAATCGATTTTGCTGCCTTCCCACAAAGAGTTCCTTTTATCAGCTCTGCATGGTGACCCTCCTGGGGCAAGAACAGATTTGGCTTGGTCTGGACAGCTGTAATTCTCTCTAGGTGGGGCTGCCTTTGAACATGACCTGGAAATCTCAGCTTGTTCAGAGCGCCGCCCCTCGACTTCTCTCGTGCGTGGATTTTGAACCAGTTGAATTTCGCTCGTTTCAGACTTTGAAGCCCTAAACCATTTGATGCTATGTAAGTTCAGGCGCATTCGTGCCAGTTGGCACCTTCCAGCCATCTTCTGACGTATTTTTTGGGTCTGTTTTTAGGTGCCTTTCCATAAGTTAAGGGCCGCTGGAAGAGCCAGGAGAATTCACCGGCTCCCCTCCTTTTGCGTCTGTCTCCTCCAGTGCAGGGCGCAGTGGATCAGTGGATCAGAAATAGATCCAGGTTGTCCCATCGTGGTTGGAGCTGGTACACCGAAGTCCTTCTAGCTGCCCTGACCCGAAGTGGCCCAGATCTGTCATTCTCAGAGGCGTCTCCAAACACCCGCCCTGCGATAATTTCTCGAGGGAGGACGGCATGAGTCCAAGGGGGGTGCACAGCCTCCCTCCAGAAGTTGCTGAGCCGCCGCAGCCGTCGCTGTGGTTGAGGAAGGCCAGGGCTGATGGGAATTGTGGCCCTCTCAGAAGGGCTGGGCTGCAAGCATGGCGCAGATAGTGGCCGGAAGGGCAGGGCAGGGCAGGGAAGGGAAACACCTTCTCGGAAGGCCTTCCCTGGTCAGGGCTGGAGAATGTACAATAGAGCGGGATGCCGCGCCCGGTCCTTTTCTGGGATCTCCTGTGGTCCACAACTCCTGTTATACCACAGTGCGACTCCAGCCTTCCCTATGGGCAATAAACCCCATCCTCCTTGGCACTGGCTACCCTGGGGGCTGCAGGAAGAGCTGAACCCGCTCCAGAATTCGCCTGGGTGCTGCCGCCGACTGCCCACCCTGCCTTCAGCCTGTGATGCGGAGCGGCCGGGGTCCCTGACGGGGGGGAGCCCGTGAAGCGTTCGCCGTGGGCAAGGGAAGGCGTCGGAGGGGATCATCGCCGGGTTGTGCCCGGGCCCCTCCGGCCTTTCTCAAAAGCCCCGTCTCCCGGCCGAGCTGGGCTGCACGCAGGCCTGGCCGCCTCCTGCCCTCCGCCCGCCCGCCCGCCCGCTCGCACCCCGTGGAGGCCTGGCTGGTAATTGCTCCGCTATTAGGAGCTTTCAAAGGCCGGTCCTAAGCACGTGTGTCTCGCTTTCATTCCTCTTCTTTCTGGTTGAAACTTAGATGCGATGCGGAGTTAAGGCATTAAAGGCCCCAACCGGGAGCTGATGGCGACTTGGATAAGGGGAATCAGTGCATTCAGCCCTGCAGCCCTTCCGTGGCTTGAATCCTCCAAAGCTCCTGCTTTGGCAGACCGTTAGCTAGGTTCGTATTTAATTTAGGAAGGCAGCCGCAAGTCACTCAGAAAATCGCAACCTTAAAAATGAAGGCTCTCTTCCTTTTTTTTAATGCCCTCATCCCTTTATTCTCCCTCTCGTCAAGTTTTCATCCCATTTCTTTTTGTGACAATCTTATATAGCAACATCACGGTGCATCTGGCAGTATTTGTTTTCTCCGCGCGCCCGCGTGTGTGTGTGTGTGTGTGTGCGTGCACACACCTCCTCCTCTGGTGTCTCTTTTGTTCTGCTGTTTGATAGATGTGGACAGCTGATAATAAAAAGAAAGAAAGAGAGAGGCAGGGAGCTGATCCTTGGCTGCGATAGCTGGTTACATTTATTAACTTCAAACAGGGGAGTGCAGCCACATGGGGAGTGATCAAACCTTCTGGCAGCCGGGTGTGTGTGTCCCCCGTCCATGCATCCCCAGCCGGGCTCTTTGGATCGGGAGGGGAGATAAAGGCTGCAGATTGATCGGCCCGATTGGGCCGCACGGAGCGCCCACCGCGAGAAGACCCGAAAACAAAAGTGCGGAGGAGCACAAAGCGGAGGAAAAAAATTGATGAAGTTTTGCCGGAGTTTTCCTCCTAGGCCCCCTCCCTCTTTTCCGTTTTGCTTTCTGCTGAAGCAGATCTGGGCAGCTGATAAACAGAGGACTCGATCTCTCCTCTGATAAAGATTGCCAAGTCAGATAACGGCTTCCTTATCTCTGCTAAACAGACTTGCAGCAGGATTCGCCTACTCCAATAACAGACCCTGGAAAGGAGAGGCAAGAGGGCTCCAACGATTTGTTCCATTGCAAATGTGATTAATGAAGGCATTTTAATTATCTGATTGAGATGGGGGAGAGGTTGGGCCCTTCCCCACACGCCTTCTGTAATATATATAATTCTTTTTCTTTTTCTTTTTTTCTTGTTAAGCTCCATTTCTCTTCTGGGTCTGTTTATCAGCCCCAGATGTTGCTTCGTTCAAAGGTTTTCGATTCCTATCTGCCGTTCTGCTAAGTGTAGCAAATATGTCTTTTTAATAAACTCAAAAGGCAAGCCTTGAGCCACGTGGATATTCCCTGAACTGTGGTTCAGCAGCGGTGTCGGTTTGCTAACGTGGGAGGCGGTTTCTCGCTCAGGTTTGACTTTGTGCTGTATTGATTTGAGCTGCTGCTGCTACAGGTTGGCTGTGCCCTGCACCGGGGCGCCGAGGGAAGGCCTGACTGGGCACCTGCCGTGGCCCCTTCCCGTCCCCAGGGAGAGCCCCCTGACTTGCAGCTTGCTCGCCAGCCTGCCCCTTTCGCTGGCCCAGAGAACCGAGGTGGGGAGGAGGAGCAGCGGTGGTGGCACCCCGTTTCTCTGCTCCCCAGTATTTGGCTTCTAGCAAGCAAGAGGCATCCATGATGGGAGAGGAGCAGCTGGGGAGCGGAGGTTCCTTGAGGGCGGGGGCCGCGGGGGCGCTTGCCGAAGGGCTCAGTTGCTGAGGAGCTTGGGCAAGTGGAGGCCTTGCACCCGTCCCGCTGGAGGGATCCTGTGGGCAGCTGGTTTGCCACCTGTGAATGGAGGCCTGGCCTGGACGGACCCTTGGCTGGAGCCACGGGGCTTTTGTTCTGCTCAGGTGGACTTCAGAAACCTGGAGGGAGCATTGCATGGGAGAGTCTCTACCTTTGGACTTGGGAGCACCGGGCAAGTGGCCAAGACTAGCTCTCCAAATGTTTTGGACTACCGTTCCTCACCACCTGCCATGCTGGGGCTGCTGGGCATTGGCAGTCCAAACATTTGGAGGGGATGCCGTCAGGGAAGGATAAACGATCCAGCTTCTGCAGGCTCTTTCAGGTGAACAAGCCTCCTTCTTTTCCTCTCCCCAGTTTCTCTCCCACCCTGTGATCCTGAAATCTGTCGTGGGCTTTCTCCTCCATGCCCTCGCGTTGCTTCCACTTGCCAGTGTGGAAGGACTCCAAAAATCGCATGCCAGGAAGGCTTGGAGGTGGCGAGACGACGCCTGCAGGTGACGGGTGCGATCCTACGCACAGTAGCAAAGAGACGGAGACACACAGAATTGTACCTTAAAGTGGAAAGGCTACCCATGGAGGGCAGGATGCCAGGAGATGACATAAGGTGGCCGCCCAAATTTCTCCTCCGGCCACCGAAGGGAAGCAGCCCCGCTTCTCTCTGTCTCTCACCCTCCGAGGGCCTCGTGTCTTCCTCGTGCGAGCGAGGCCGGGGGGGCATACAGCAAGCTTCCGTTGGCCACCCAGCAAGTCATGTATGATCGAGCAGGGACTGGAGCCATTTTCTGATTCAGCACCTGGAGATGGGGACCCCCGGTCTGTGACCCACGGCGTCCCCTGAGGGTCCCCACCCAGCCATGTGCTTTCTCCCAGCTCCCAGGCTTGGTCTGGCCAGTTTTCTGCACTACCTGGCGCTGTCCCAGGAGCCTCCGGGATTTTTCCTTTACCCCCCTCTTAGCTCCATGCAGAAGCCAAAATGCTGGGTCCGGGCTTTGCAGGGGCAGGGGCCCTCCCGACAGAATGATCCTAACCTAGCGAGGTGTGTGATATGTAGCAGAGACTGAGAAAAGCGGGGCCAGCCAGGTGAGGGATACCTGCAGCTCCCCACTAAGGGTGGTCCTGCTCCACCCAGGCTGGTGGGAGCCACCGGCTGGGTCGTCCAGGGTCGTACACCAGCCTGTGCAGGGCTCCTCAAGGAGACCCGCTGAATTCGGTGGCACCGCTGCATCGAACGGTTCGGGATCAACAGTCTTGGAGGTGGACCTGGGGCTTCCTGCAGGTGCCTCCTGTCCTCGCTCAAGGTCTGGGGATGCAGCAGGTGGGATGCGCACACAGCACCGGCAACGCACTCGTCACCCCCTGTTCAAAGGTTTGCTCTTGTCGCAGACATTCAGTTGATGACATCCGAAGCCCTGAATTACCCGGGACTTGACTCCTAGCAGGCTGCCTTCCCCTCTGTGCACCCAGTCGAGCCCCGAGATCCTCTGAGGAGGCTTCTTGGTAGTCCCACAAGCACATGAGCAGGCAGGGCCTTCTCGGCAGTGGCACCCGCCCTCTGGAACACTCCCACGTGTGGTTCAGGGGGCGGAAAGTTTGGTGAGCTTCTAGAAGAAGCATCTGCTTACGAGGACTTTCCTTCATCTTGACCTGATTTCAGGGTTATAGCCAGCACTAGTTTAGCTGAAGTTCAGTTCAGTTCAGTTCAGTGGGTCTACTCTAGGTAAGACGACCACTGGAAACAACCTGACGGCATTGCTCTGTGCTAGGGTTGTTCTCGTGCAATGTGTTAATGTAGTTTTCGGTTAATCGTGTTTCTGTGCTGTGTTTTCCGTGGTTTGGGAGCCCCTGAGTTTGGTCCACACTCAGCCGTGAGGCCCACTGTCCCATTGGGACAGTCCTGGCTCTCAGCCTCTCCTACCTCACAGGGCCGTTGTGAGGATAAATTGAGAAGAAGGAAGATCACGCAAGGCGAGGCCTGCAAGAGAGAAAGGGCAAGATATGAACGGAATAGCAGAGAGGTGCAAGTGCCGCGAAGCCCAGATTTCTGCAATTCTGGTGTGTGGCAGCGAGGCTGAAAGTCTTGGACGGGCGACTGGGGGGATCTGGATTCCAGTCCATGCTCAGCCCTGGAGTTCACTGGGTGACTTTGGCCCCGGCACTTTCTCCCAGCCTAGCCTACCTCACAGGGCTGTTGTTTTGAAGAGAGAATGGAGCTATAGAAGCTGCTTGAGGAAAACAGTGGGATATAAATGTAAGGGAATAATAACACTGATGGATGTTGGATGTCAACAGCTTGGAAATTTCAGAAGGTTCAGTGTTAGAGAAGTCAATAAAGATTAAAGCAATCAATAAACCTGCATGAGGCACCCCAGGAAGGGCCGCGGAGCATCTTCCTCGCGGGGCGAGCAGCACCATGGGCAGTTCCAGCTCGGGTCATGCGGTGCATTGGGCCAGTCCTCATGGCGAGGAGGTGGCCCGCCACGTCCGTCGTACCTGAGCTTGGACACTCCCTGGATGTGCCGCAAGGACTGCTCCTGTTTGGGCCACGATCCCCGGAGGAGAGAAGCCCACAGAACCCTTCCCAGGGAATGACACGGCACGTACTTCTCTTTGTGGGGCACAGAGGCCGGGCCAGGGTGGGTCAGTTTGCCGGCTTGCATCTCGAAGATGGAGCCTTCCGGGAGCAAGCTGGCCAGGAGGAGCACCGGGACCTGAGCAGCCAGGAAAGCGGTGTTTGGTGCAGGGGTGAGCAAAGCTCGGACAGCCGGCTGCTTTTTCTGGGCAAGGCCCTCCCTCAAGGCCTCCCCTGAACTCCCCAAGTGGGGCTGCCTACTGTGCTGCCTTTGTGGCAAGGGAATGCACTTTGCGCATGCCCAGAGTAGCTGTTAAAATGCAGCTACGACACCTGAGCACTGCTTTTTTGCATTCTAGCGCTCTGTGTGAGCTGGACGTGGCGTCCCCCCAACTCCCAGTACGTAGCTGAGTCTTAAATGCTTGGCCTCTGATTTTACCCAGGCAATGTTTTTTGGTTCCCTGGCCATGAATGTGCTTGTGTCCAATGCACTGATCAAAGAGCATGTGAGCAGGATGAATGGGGGGGGGGGAGGGGGGCTAGTTGCTGCAGGACTCAGGCTGGCATCTATTTTTAGCTTTGTGAGCTGCAATTTCTGCCGTCTCTTTCTGCTTGGTGCAAGTTCATCCTTGCATTTTCCATGTTCCCCATTGGCTCCTGGCAAGGAATCTGTGGACCCACTTGGCATGAGACATTTTATAAGATAAGATTAGTTGCCTTTTATCAGACCCTGAGCTTTAGTTTCATAAAGAAGTCCATATAAGTTACTAGTCCTCAACAATTTCCGTCGTCATGAGCCAGTTGCGTAGGGCCTCCTAGAAAGGGGAGGGGGAAAGAACATGACTCTTTCACCTTCCCCTTGGCTGGGGTGCTTTTGAAGGGGCTGCTTTGGTCCAGAAGTTTCTGGGATTACCCCAAAAGTGCCATCCACTGCAGAGAACTAACTCACCAATTTTCAGGCGCCAGCCCTGAGAGTGCACAGTAGCAACCTCTCCAGAAAAACGGAAAAGAAAAGAAAATACTGAAAGCTCAGCCTGGATGGACAGATCTGTCCGTTTCAATTTCTCCCGGGATTAGATTTGTTTTCGGGGGTTTTTTTTCAGTCTGAACTTTCTGTTGAGACATCCTTTCTACCCCCCAACCCTTCTGTCCCTGAAGACACCTGCTTGCCCCTGCTAGTATCTTCTTCTCAAAGCCCACCTGAAGCAAAAGTCTCCGCATCCCAGTTCCGAGGTAGCCTGCCTCTGTAAATGGAGGCTTCACCTTAGCGGCCGTGGATCAGCCGGTCCCTTCCACGCCCCTTTCTGGAAGAGCTTGTTGGCATGGCCTTTTCTGCAGCCGCCTCTGCACACGTGTGCCGTCGTTCAGCCCAGGGCCCCGCAGGCCGTGGGGCACCAGCAGCCCGGGATCCAGCGCAGGCCGTGCTGGTCTCTTCTCAGACTCCTGCGGTGCGGTGGAAGCTGTGAAAAGCCGGTGGATACCCACTCTTGGCCTAAAGGAGCATTGTGGGGTGGACTCCAGGGCCCATGCTGCTGATATCCAAGGGCCACCTTCCTGGGGTGAATCACACTTCCCCGGCTGTTCCTTTTAAAGCTCACAGAAGGGTCTCTTAGAAAAATGGCCAGTGGCTGGACTGCATGCGGCAGCTTTCCCCAAACCGGCACCCTCCAGCCATGTTGGACTACAGTTCCCAGCATGCTGCAGCGAGCCAGGAGTCCCACACTGATTTGCTGTTCATAAATCACTCACTACCTGCATATTCTTTCAGCAACTCATTTGGCCTAATTTCTATGCAGTGAAAATCCCACGCCCTACCTGCTGGGAATCCTGCCCGGTTCCTCGTCTCCCCTAAAATTTCATTAGGTATTCTCATCAGGCTTTCAAGCTTGCTGATCCTCCCTGAGGGCTAGCAACTTGTATTTAAATACAGAAGCCTAAGCTAAATGCAAAAGCTGAGGGTGATGGATTCCATGCCTGAGCTGACTTCGCATGTCCACAGGCTTACAGAGGAGGCTGCAAGTCCCCTCTCCCGTGCATGAGTCACTGGCCACCTAGCGAGTAAAATAACCCTCTTGCACAGAGTCCTGGCAAGATGAAGGGCCTTGAGACAGCCCTGTGGAGAAGTTCTACTCACAGGAGGTGGCGGCTTGATCCTTATCTGGGCAATTTGATCGCTCTTTCTCTCTCTCGGCTTTTCTGGAGGGGAAAATTGGGGTGTCCAGAGCTGGATCCTCCCCTGCGCTGCTTTCAGTGCGCATTTTGAGTGTGGGGAGGAGGGCTTGACGCTGAGCTGCGTTTAAATTTTCTGGTGGCTGTAATAAGTTGGCAGGTTTCTGAGAATTTGAGTTGGCGGGTCAGAGGGGTCCGTTTTGCAGGGAGAAGGAGAGAATTCTGCCTCCCAGGAGTGGCTCTTGGGGTTCACACTTGATTAGCTGATGCTGCTTTAAAGCCGTCAGAATCACCAACATTAGTGTGTCTGTCTGAATGTGGATTGAATGCATTTGCACAGATCTGCTGAACACGTGATGTCCAGAAGTTTCCGGTAAATTATCCCCATAAGCAGTTTGTAACGGATGTTTTAAATCCAGAGGTTGTGCCGAGTGCCCTGTCCTCCTGCGCTATCCTATGAGCGCATGGGGAGTCAAAGAAATGGGGGTCGCGCTTGTACGCCTCTACGACGTAATGCGAAGTGGCGCACCATTCCAGCATTCAGAAATAATATTTCTGTGCGTCAAACAAGGCCTGGTTCGGAGAAGGGCGCTGGGCAGGAAATTTGCATCTTAAATTAACCTGCGTATTTTGTAATGGTGCTCATTGCAGCTCAACTCTGTGGGAGTTAATTTCAGGGCTGCAGCCTCCTGCTGCGAGCAACACGTTCCGCGCAGGCACACCGTGTGTGCACAGTTCGGGTCAGAGCCCGATTTG